TAAGATACGATCGGAAGATCCAGCCAGCTCGTCTAAGGCGTTGTTCTGAAACGAGACAAGCACAGCTTGCACCTGTTGGGGAAGTTTGGACAAGAAAAGTTATTTTAATAAGCCTTCGTCGAAATTTCTTAGGCCCATAACCTCTCTCATCCTTTGCAACATGTCTGTCGCAGAACCGTGTTGCAGGTCTATGTTATTGAAGAGTTGGTCTAACCTTTGTCGAACGGTTAGGTTGTAGTAGCATTGGACAATAACCACACAATCCACAAAGCTAAACACGAGACTACTCAGAAAATAGATATTCAATATTTAACGCGAGAAATACCTAACGATGGAGAAGGCGCGAACAATGAATTGAATGAATTGGAGTTGATCGAATGGCATGGCTCGGCCATCCAGGCGTGGTCCCTACTGAATGTTACCTTAAATCTTTTATTCATAATAAATATATTGTTCTATCTCTAGCCTAAGCTTGTTCTCCATCATGTATTGGTGATTGTTAAGATGCAGTGAGTTGGTGTAGACGATGATGTAACTTCCACGTAAGATCTTATAGATTAGGGAGTTATATCATGATAAGTCTGTAATTTTAGGATTAGGTCTATTATTAGAGCAGTACTAATATCATAGTAGACCATAATTTTAAAAGGTCTCCTCGTTTAAGAATAGAACGCTTTAAGGTTTCGTACGGTTCAGAAACATCACTAGTAAGCATACTAGGTGTCACGTACCTGTTGAATTCTTGCGTTAGTGCCTTGACTACTGCGAGGAATTGTGCACGTGTGTCGTTCACGCCGTGCTCGTGGAAGTCGGCTTCTGAGTAGCAAAACCAGGCTTCGATATTGTCGGGCTAGAAGGGCATGAGTTGGAACTAGGATGGGGACGAAGTCTTAAGCCTAAATACTTTAGGTGTCTGTTCAGTCATGATGAAATATGAAGTACGATAATGAACGAGGGAAAAAATATATATCCAAAAAGCACGAAAAAATATCACAATGTATAAAAAATTAAGATAAAGCAATAATATATTGAACCCGAAAATGGAACAGACTCACAGTTTACGATTCGGTGTGCCAGATCACGTTAGGCTCACCAATGAAGATGGCACAGGTATTCAGCGTTTGAAAACGCTTTTACCAGTAACGCCTTCTAATATAACTCGTACCCACCAAGAGAAATTAAAAGACAGAATCGAGGAGATCAGAAGTTGTATTTGACGATTGCCAACATATCGGGATTGTCTGATCTAGTCTGGCTAGCGATTACAGTAGATGTTGAGCACGGCGTTCCCACACGTGATCTGGTGCGGATGCATGACCGAGCGCCTTCAGCTAGGTGATTCCACTAAAACTAATCTGGTCAGCATTCAACGTCGAAAACTTACAGAGCTATTTATTTTGGGGATTTATTTACCGCTACAATGCCTTTCGAGCAAACCTAGCACTGGTAACATTGAAGCGCATTTCTGGTCAGTTTGACGAAAGAACTTTCCATATAATCTTTAACAGTTTTATCCATTCCCATTTAGAGTACTGAAACATAGTATTTCCTCCCTCACTCCAAAAGGATAAGGACACTCTGAAGCGTATCCAATGGCGAGCCACGAAAACAGTCCAAGGACTCAAGTTTAAACCTTATGAAGAGCGCCTCCAATCATTTAACCTTTACCCATTAGAATGTAGGCGTCTAAGAGGTGACCTCCTGATGGCTTACAGTACCCTCAACACTTCTGAACATCCTCGTAACACCCACCTAAGCTTAGCCCCGATACCAACATAAGGGGTAACACCCAGAAATCGGAGACACAACATAGCAGTCTTCAGTAATAAGGATAGTAGGTTGGTGAACCTGTATTAATCCTGACACATTGCTTTCCAGTGAAGGTCCAGCTTTTCCTAGAAAGTATTCACTGATGGGGCTGATACCACTTGTTCGGACAAGGCGTTCCAGTCATTGACTACTCGATGAGAAAAACTGGACCCCACTTTAAGTTTATCAGATCGTGATTTATGAACCCTCTTGCTATGACATCGGAGATTATTAGTGCTGGAGGGAGCAAAAAGATAAGACATATTAACACCCAAATCATAATTAAAGATACGAAATGCCAGTATGAGGTCACCTCGTGTCCTACGATACGACAAGGGGAAAGATTTAGGCGTTTTAAACGCTCATCGTTAGAGAGTCTAGAAAGACCCTTCACTAATTTCGTTCCCACACGCTGGACACGCTCAAGGGAGTTAGTATCCTTTACCAAACACTGGCTAGCTGCTTGGATACAGTACTCTAAATGTGGTCTAACGTATATAGGATATAAAATTCGAAACGTTTCCTCGTCAAAAGATTTGAACGCTCGGCGAAGTGACCACAACGCACAAAAACCTTTGACAGCGGCTGCTTTGCAATGCGTAGTTGTTTTTAAATCATGACTTAATACTACTCCTAAGTCTTTATGCTCTCGAACTCATGGAAGAGGTTTACCCTCAATAGTGTAACGGTACCTATTACCGTGACCGATGTGCATTAGTACACTCTTCCTAGCATTGATTTCTAAGCCCCACTCTCGAGCCCATCTAGCTAAATCGTCTAAGTCAGCTCGATGATCCAGATGACCAGCCGCACTTTTTATTGTTCTCCAGATTTTTACATCATCCGCAAACAATAATGTCGACGACCTAAGTAACAGCGGCAACTCATTAACGTAGAGAAGGAAGAGCAGAGGGCCTAAGATGGTGCCTTGGGGTACACCACTTCTGACCGGCTTCCAATCGGATAGCGTTCCGTTGACCCTAACTCTCTGTCTGCGGTCACATAAGAAATTTCTTATCCACTCATGTACAGTACCTATTATTCCGAAGCTCGTGAGCTTCTGCATAAGACCTACGTGTGAAACCTTGTCAAGTGCTTTGCTAAAATCTACGAATATCACATCGACAGACAAACCGTTATCTAGGGCTGCTGTCCAATCCTCCCTCGCAATAAGCAAGTTATTCAAGCATGAACGCTTGTTGCGAAATCCGTGTTGCTCAGGAGCTAACAGATTGTGTAAACCTATGTGGCTTAGCAACCTAATCCGAATTATCTTTTCAAGTAACTTACCGACTATGCTAGTTAGACTGACAGGCCGGTAGTTAGATACTATCTGTCGCAGAACGGGCTGTAGACGCAACTTCTACTCCTTAAGAGTTGTCAAATGCAGGAACTCACTGCCGGCTGAGCTAGTCCAAGCGACTTCCCAGGAGTCCTTTAAGAGGCAAATTGATCTCTTCTTAAGGTCTAAGGATAGTATCATACTATGATTTACCAATTCGTTTTCCTCTTTTATCTTTAACATGCCTAGGTTCCTGCCTGGAGGTATTCGTGATCCCCTGCTACTAGACATCGAAGCCTGTTAAGCGAAGGCTTCTTCTATTCCGTTCACAACCATTTGAACCATTTGAAGTTTGAATGATTACATACTATTGAAGGTCATTGCTTCCTCATGGCAAGTACCGTTCCGTAATACAGTAAATTTTCTAGGAATGGTCTGAAAATTCCATACTTAAGGCTTTTAAGAACAAAATTTTGTATCGTCCTCGAGCTGGCCAGTCCACGTCAAAAGATTCTGCGCTGATTTTTTGGGTGTTAATAGCTTCCATTTTTGACCGTCAGGTCGATGCATAACTCAAAACCCATTATTAAAATGTTGTCTAACGTTTTTATACTGTTGTAAATTTCATATGGGATACTAAGAAGGATTAGGTGTAGGGAATGTAGGTGGATATCGTTAAATAATGATATATATCATCTTTTTTATCATTTATTTTCAGGTTTGTGTTTTCAGATTTGTGTAGTAAGGAGAGAAGGCCTACGGCCTATGTTATTCCTCTTCTAGTATGCTTCTGTGAATGTCCAGTCTTCTCTTGAAAGAGTCAATTAAAGGTGCGGACACCACTGCTTCAGGCAGCAGGTTCCAAGTATTGATGACTCGGTGTGAAAACCTGTATGCCACGGGTATTTTGTTTGTTCTTGGCTTTTCTACTCGCCTGCTATGTCCTCTGAGGTGTCCCGATCTAGTGGGAAGAAAGAGAGAGAATAAGTTAGGTCCGAAATCATTTCCAGTATTCTGTACATCAATATTAGATCTCTCTTAGTCTGCGATAGGACAGAGTAAAGAGGTTCAGTTTTTCAAGCCGCTCTTTATATGATAAACCCCGGAGTTCCGGAATTGCACGCGCAGCTTCCCTCTGTACCTTTTCTATTATGTCTGAGTCACCTTTTAAACAGGGGCTTGCAGCCTGAACACAGTTCTCTAACTTAGTTCTCACTAAGGATGTGTATAATGTGGTGAACATGGTAGTATCAAGCTTAGTGAATGTCCTTTTTAAAGCCCAGAGGGTTCGAAACCCCTTAAATGCGACCTCCCGGCAATGGGCCGTTGTCTTAAGATCATTGCTCACTGTCACCCCTAGGTCCTTATGAGACCGGACTACGGGTAATGACACATCCCCTATGTTGTACGTATTAACCTTTGAATCCCTCAAGTGCATGTAGACACACTTTTCCGAGTTGATAGGCATTAGCCACTCTTTAGACCAGTTTACCATATTATTTAAGTCCGCCTGAAGAGTACGACGTGCGTTAGTCCGTTTCCAGTAAGCTCCTAAGTGCCTAGTCTTTTCTTGAGTGAGTTAGGTGAAGGGGCGGACACCATTTCTTCGGGTAACAGGTTCCAAGAATAGATGAATCTGTGCGAAAACCTTTGTCTCAGTTCGCTCTTGGCTTTTGTACTCGCCTGGTATGTCCTCTGAGTTGTCTTGATTTGATAGGGAAAAGAAAATATATCAGGTCTGAAATCATTACCTATTATCCTATACATCTGCGGTAGTACAGAGTTAAGAGGTCTAGTTTCTCAAGGCTTTCTTTGTATGATGAACCGGGGAACTCAGGAATTACATATTTAGTTGCCCCGTGTAACTTTTCCAAGATACCCGTGCAACCTTTAAAACAGGAGCTTGTAGCCTGAACACAGTTTCCAAGTTTGGATCTCACTAATGTTATATATACTGCAGTGAACATATAAGTATCTAACTTGGTAAATGTTCGATACGGACTCTCTACTCTGTACATATTTGCCTTTATATCCCCAATGTTCATGTGCACACTTGGCCGCGTTGATAAGCATCAGCCATTTCTTAGACCAGGTGATTAGAGCATCTAAGTCATGAAGTGCACATGCATCTGCGTCTCCTTTTATTTCTCGTCAGATCTTTGTATCAGCGTGTGGTAGCATCGAGGACTCGACTATACTTGGAAGTCCATGTAAATAAAGTATACAATGCAAAGTACCTGGAAAAGTCTCGCGTTACTCCACTGATTACTGTTTCCCAGGAGGAGTATTTAGAATTTATCCGTACTTTTTGTCCACAGCCTACCAAACATACCTGATCTACTCTAGGATAGGTCCTGCAGTTCTTAGATTTCCCAGCATCATGATTGGTCTCGCAAAGTAATGACATTTGGTATGTTGTCTAAGCTACTTCTACAACCTTGTTTAAGTAGCAAATAATTATATCATTTTTTTCACAGATTGAAATCATGAGTCAGTTGAAGCTAGACCACCATTGAAAACCTGGAAGCACTGGACGGCCGTTTCGTCCTAGTATGGGACACATCAGCAGTGCGCATCCACGATCCCGCACCACGCGGGGTTCGAACCCAGGACCTACTGGCTTCGCGCGCGAGCACTTAACCATTAGACCACTGAGCCGGCATCCAACGGTGTTAATGTCTAACTTCAACCAATCCACGAAGTTGCGCCACCATATACCATTGTCTTCAGTGAGCTGATATCTCACAACAGACCTGGTTGTACTCCACTGGTAACGGCTTCCCACTAGAACTCCAGGAGTATCTCTTGAAGTCAGTCACTAGCTTCAACTGACTCATGATTTCAATCTGTGAAAATTTCTAAAAATCTCCACAAACCCCTTCTGATAATTATATCATTTCTCAATAATTTTCTATCTCAGTCATTATATTGTGTGTAATGTCCCCATTGGGAAACTTGACCTTAGTATTAAAGGTTAAATCCCTTTTTTGACCACATCGCATCATCCCGTACCATTTATCGATCAGGATCACACTCTTAATATTTAAAACCCCAGAACTCGTTCATATAAGATTGAAGTTAGAAATTAACACCGTTGGATGCCGGCTCAGTGGTCTAGTGGCTAAGCGCTCGCGCGCGAGACATGGGTCTCGGGTTCAAGTCTCGCAAGGCGAGGTCGTGGATGCGTACTGCTGAGAAGTCCCAGGAGAGGACGAAACGTCCGTCCAGTGATTTCAGGTTTTCTATGGTGGTCTACAATTAATTCTCAACTATTAAGATTACTATAATATTCACAAAAACCCCGTCTGATATAGATCCTTAATCGTAACGGAAACGTAAATCATTGGATTTAAAGCGTGTTTTAAATGTATTTTTCTCGCTCCGAGACTTGAAAGTGTTGTGCATTTTCGAGGAGTCCATAACTATGATGAAACAACTATTCGGTGATTCCTGCCCATAATACTTCGCTAACAAACCACATATGTTAAGTCAGTCAGTCAGTAACAACGTGGAACTTCGTACGTACGTAAATCAGTTCGAATTACCACACCATATGTTAATAAGCAGTTTTGTTCGTCATAGGTTGATCAAACCAGTAAAACAGACTACTTGCTGTTGTACATTAAAGGAGCCTAGAAGTGTGTGATGGTTTTATACTCTTCTTTCAAATGTCTTGTTCTTTCCGTTTATAAGTTATTGTCCAAGCCTAAATCGGTTGTACAACGTGTGTGAGCAAAGAGCACAACTTCCGGCTATTCTATTTAGATTTTGATTCTACCCTTCCGTTTACCTAATGAAACATTACTCCTAGCCTTTCACTAAGGACGTCCAGCTCCCTCAAAATCCCACTTCACACGCAAAAAGAGTATCGCTATAAGTCGAGTACATATCTGCTTAATCTGCTTCTATATGTATCTTTTTCCCGATTTTTACGTTTCTTCTTAGTCTTACGTTATTTGTTTAGCTGTTTCAAGTATAAGTTCTTGTCCTACCAATTAAAATGAATGAAATATCTAGTCTTAGTTCCTTGCGTAAAGTTCGGTACTTGTGTTTAATAACAAGACATAAGGAATTAATCAAGGTTAGGACAATTTATTATTGATGAATCTCATGCTAGGTTTAACTCAGTGATTCTGTTTTTTTTTAATCACCATCTAAACTCTTACACGTTCTTAATCTTTGTGTACTTATTTGTAGCATGATTTGTAACCTAGCAAAATATGAAAATAGTTTATTTTAATTGTAACTACAGCTTTTAACCTAACTGACATTGTATGGTTTCCTGGTTATTTTCAGGCACTAAAACCCTATTTAAACGCAGTTAGGCACACTCTAAATGCAGCATTATGTGTTCAGAATTTTCTTCACAAGTTGTTGAACGTCACAACAAACCTGAAATAGAAGTTCGAACCTCCAAGGAACTACTACTAAACCCGTAATTATTAGTCGGAATGAAAAAGAGCGGGTACTGATTGAAGGGTCAATTAATTCAGTTCGTGTCAGCATTGCTATCAAACAGTCTGATGAAATCGAAAAGCTACTTTGTCGAAAATTCACTCGGTTTATGATGACTCGTGCAGAAGACTTTGTTATACTTAGGCGTAAACCTGTCCCTGTAAGTTCATATCTCTGATCGTTTAAAGTTAACTTTGGAACCTCATTTCTTATTTTGCTGCAGCAAAACTACAAATTTGATTCCTTTTAAATATTTGCTTGTTATTTGTACACAGTTCAGAAAAAGCCCTGATAGTTGACTATGAATTCCCACCCTGATTTTCTATCATGCGATAGTTTATTAATCCTATTCGAACTGTCTGGATCACCGAGAAGAATTTCTCATTGTGAAAAGAGAGTTCACAATACAGTCCAGAGTCCCTATGTAACTTAACCACACTGAGACATTCTTCCAACATTTTTTGCTTAGTGGTTCTAGCGCAAATGTTCCTTTAATTAGAAATCGTAGTATATATTTCTTTTCCACATCTGTATGTGCTTACTGTTAGAGTGTGATTGATATACGTTCACTCGACCATGTAATATCGTTTAGTTAATTACCGCTAGTTCAGATTTACGTTCATGTACATCAACAGATCAGGTTCTATACAAGTAACTAGAAAGCAATATTGATCATTTCACTATGGAATAATAAACTGACTAAAATATATTTTGAATACGTCAGTACAGCTTCAGATTTTCATGTTTTAGGTAGTACATATATTAATCAACTTGAAAGACTTCAGTGTATCGACTTCATGTCCTGTGTCAAGAAGATGTCTTGCGATGGCACTGCCGAATGATTTTAATCCATTTAATCTTAAACTTTTCGGAATATATTCTTTGGATCGGACGTAGGCTCTCCTTCCTGTTCTACCAGTGTAACTGCTTTGGCAGATACATGTAGATTTGTATACACATTTGGTGGGATACATGTTGTAATCAGTTGATGAGAACCTAACGAAGTAAAATGAATGCATATTATTCTGCACCAATCTTCGTTCTTGCTCTTTTTAAGATAATAAAGGGAACTATGTGTATGAAACAAAAAGTTTTTTGACATATGTCCCATAGATCTACGAGTGCGTGACATAAAATAAGTATCTATGTATACAAAATTTGTTTGTTTATTTAAATTAATGCTCACAAATAGACATCAAAATAAATATGCACCACAAAAATACGAAAATGGCAGCGTAAAGAGATATAAAAAAGAGTCGCTGTAATGGAAGTAAATAAAAATAAGTGAACGAGAATGATGTACGCTAGGAGAAACGGTCTGGTTTGAAAACATACGAACAGGAAGGACTTTTTGTCGAGGGAATTCCTCTCAATTCTATGAAGTGTAAAAGAACTACAGCAGGATAGCCATTGGCTTTTATTATGGGTCGTGTATGACGACGTCTTGAGTCACTGAGTTGTACAATTCTTGGGGCCCCCAACCAAGGAGCCGTGATAAACTAATAAATGCCAGTCTTATACAACTTACTTTCATATCACGGGTCTGCTTAGCTTCGATCAGTTTGTAATTATTTTTTGTCATTTGTTTATCTAATTAATTCTTCTGATAGTAGTGTTGCCTTTTATATTTCACGACCTCATTTTTTACTTTTATCCTTAGTTGTTTCTACCCATAAATCCCATCTTATTTGTGTTATGTTACACATAATCGAATACAGATTAATATATATGTTAGTTTGGTTAACTACTGTTCATTAGCAAGGTCTCAGAAACTGTATAAAATCGTGACAAACTAATCAGTTATGAATAGAAAGGGTAAAATTCACAAATGGTAGTTTTAAATAGTTAAATTTTAATATTACCAATGTCTGGTATCTAGTTTTTGACTACATTTCATTCATTTTGTCAGTTGTTAGAAATATTCGTTCAAATTTAGACGAGACATTTTATAAATATTAATTTTTTTGTCTTAGTTTTAGAACGGTCAGTAGCTCGTTGCTTGTTATCCATATCAAAAAACTTACGTTGTCGAAACTTCGTTTAACTGTTTTGTTAGTTATCGATTAGCTTTTTAGCTTAGGGATCCTTTGAAATGTCTTCTGATTGAACTATAATTTGTAATGGATGTTCTGTCTTCTGGGGTTGTTTGCAAGACTTTTTAAAATTTCATTTTTGCAAACTAGGGCTGGTAATTGCAACTCATTCGAGTAAAAGACTAATATTTGAACGAAGAATATTCTTTTCGATAAATTCTCTTCAGGTTCTACAATTATATATCCAAATTATTAATCCGAAAAATGGCCAAGTTAAGGGCAAAGTACATCGTTTAGGGCATGTGAATTTAGGATTGTGATAAACAAAATACAATAAAATTGTTAATGTTAATATGACTCATATAAAATGTTAACTTGAATCTGCGTATATGTTAAATGAGATTTAAGATCCATGATCAGAATAAATATGGGTCAAATAGGGTGAGACAGAAATAATAGTGCAATTACAATTCGATCGAATAAGTAAGACGTAATACGGAGGGATGAATGCGAAGTAAATGAATCATGTATAGGGAGATTAATGATGTTTAACCAATAATACGAATAATACAAAGATTTATGAATAAAGATAACAGGGACAATTACAATTGACTAAGAAAGGTCATAGTCAAATTGGGTCATTCAATAGTTAAGATTACGATTGATTAATTGGCCTTGATGTTGGCCAGGGGAGGAGGAGTGGCTGAATATATTTCTTCTGTACGCATAGCTCCGGTTTCTTCATTCGGATGGCTACTGCGTCAGCCGTTTGAAGGACTTTCAGTCTGACCAGTTTTGGCAAAAAATTACTTATAAATAATTGAAAAAGATTGGTTTATACTGGCATTATGACCGGTTTGTACTAAATGGGACAATATTGAGCTGTTCACCTTCTTCATCAAACCTTTGTTTAACCACCTGGAAGGTGTTCACGAGCACGAAAATGTAAATTCCTAGGACTTCGACCAATATAACTCGCTCCACAGGAGCAGTTGAACGGATAAATACAAAATGAGGTGGTCATTCTAGGTAATCCATCTTTTAGCTTCGGTGTAACCATTGGGCGCGTAGAAAATACTAATCGCAGTTCTCCGGCGTTAAAAGACTTTCGTATTGTCCTACGTAGTCTCTGAGTTAGTATTTCACTAGCCGCATCCCCTCTGAATTGTAGACGCATGAACAAGGATTTCTTCACTGTTTGTATTTCGCCTACTTTTGCCTTCGCGACCATATATTGAATTATTTACATGTTCGTTGTATTTCTCCTGTTTTGTTCGTGTCACTCCCTGGAGGAAATAAAGCGAATAATGGAAGAGTTCAATAACCTTGATGTTATTTTGAAAGCTTCTCCTGAGAAATTGTTAAAAAGTTGTATGATATATTGTTTTTCTCTGAGTCAAACCCATTTTTTCATACTGTCCTTTGGTTAATATATTTTAAAGTACTTTAAAGCTTGGTGTTAATTTAACGTATGATTCCTTTGATTTTAGGGTACATAAAATGCATTTGTTGTAGAAGTGTTAATATAATTCCTATGTAAAGATGTCTATTGCATATCTCGTAGAGCATAGATTAATTGAAATAAATGGTCCATTCGTTAGTATTTTAAGCATACTATGTAACTTTTGTTAATATAAAATAATTTTTTTCCGTTGGACTTGTCGATAATCCTTTTTTTATGTTATCTACATTTCCGTCAATGTATTACTTTGAATCCATTGTAGATTTGCTTTTTGTATGACTTAATTATTTTTTGGTGTAAGTTAAAGACGTCAAGTTTCTTTGATTATTGATATCGTTCGAAATTTTACCACATCAAGGTGTTATTAGAAATACTTTCTCATCCTATAAATTTCACTCATACACATCTCAATCATTCAGATTAACGACATGTAATACATAGTTAAACTTCTATTTTCTCGTAAAGATATTTGTTTGTCTAACCTTCTGCGGTCCTGTTTTCTTAATCAAAATCCTAACATTTTTCTTTTTATGTTCCTTTCTCTATAGGGCTATGACATCAGTTTTCTTATCACTAATTTTCACACGGAACAGATGTCAAAGGCAAAATTGGTTGATTTCGTAATTACTTTCATGGATGAGATTGATAAAGAAATTTCCGAAATGCGCTTAGCAGTGAATTCTCGGGCTCGTCAATGTGCTGAAGAATTTTTGAAGGCGTTTGACTAACAGATACGTGAAATAAATAGTAATTTCGCTTAATATTGTGGTAATTCAAAGTAATTTTAACGACTCTTTTGAAACTGTTTTTTTTCTATAATTTCGTCTTTCAATTAACGTTGACTTGTAAAAGTAAAATGTTTTTATGTTAAAGTTTCAGTTTTATATATCCTACATCAAGGTTTGATTAAAAAATCCAAATCTTAAAATTATTTGTAATCTAAATTAGTTTAGAGGGAGCATGACTGGAAATTACGGTCTTTCATATTAACAAAATCAGATAAAACTCACACTTCATTATCTTATGTCACTGTTTCACTCTTAGTTTTATCAAACTTAATATTATGTTATCAAGTTAATCACTAAAACTAATAAGAATATATAAATACTCACTTATTGAGACAAATTATGGCAATTTGTAGAGACTTGGTCCAATCTGCCTACTTTAAAATGAAAATTCTTGAGATTCACTAAGAAAATATAATACTACACCTTTGTTGTTTGCTAGTTATTTGTAGTTCTATTTTCTAATTTGACACAGCTCATACTTATCGTTTGATAATAGTCACGTAATGAGACTTTCGACAGTGAGTATTTTTGAGATCATTTGTTGTCAAGCTCACTATTTATGCTCATCCTGTTATTGGGACTTTAGTCAATCACGTAGTGTTCTAAAACACCTTATTTTTTTCGGAGCTGGCATTCATGATAATAAAGAGGAATAGAGAGAAATTCCAGTTTCGAATGATCCTTCAATAAGTAAATCTATATTCATTAGTGAAACACAATCTTTCGGTTTTAGTGTTTATCTCTCATCCCTAGTCATATGCGTAAATAATTGATTATTTATTGAAACAAGTATTGCTACATATAGGCAGTAAAATAAGTGTCCGCTGCATAATAGTAAAATAAAACTGTTAGGATACTGAGGAAGGAGGGGTGGATATGATCTAAAACAATAACTGAATAAAAATAAGTGAACAATAGTAGTATATGAAAAAGTGCAAACAAAAAGTCCTTCCATCTAAAGAAGCATCATTTCCATGGAGAAATTTGTGAAAGGACGCTTTCTGGCTTCTACTGTGACCTATGTCTAGTAACGCCTCAAATACTATCTCACCCTAACCAAGTAGTCGTGGCGGACATAGTGTTGTCATTAGGTGTCAGGAATCTTTTGGGGACAATGATGATCAGACACAGAAAGCCGCTGAACATCCCTAACTCGGAAAGCACCGGTTTCTCAAGTATGGAGCAGAACCGGTCTTACCGACATATTATGAACCCTATCTTTTACAGTCAGGCTAACATCGAGACGACACCAAAGATGGCTCTGATTAGCACAAACCATTTCGAACTTTGCCTAAACGGGTACCACTACCACTGTGATCTATGCTACTTATGATGACATATTTAAGTAGTATGTATCAGTGATTGAAAGTAGAATACCTGCTAGCCGAAGATTAAAATACAGAGAACAGGATATTGGGGAATATAAAGGACAACGCAAAGATGTGCAAGAAATGTATTTAATGTTTAGTTTCCATATTTTATCAAGCCACTATGTGATTTTGCATTGAACAATAAATTGGTTTTCTTCACTTGAGTTCTCTTACACTGCACCAGCACTCCCACAACTAACCAGATACACGAATTTCCCAACTACTGGCGACCCAACACAAATAGTGGTTGTAGGCGTAGGTTCCCGCCAGTTCTGGAAAAGTACCTCCTACTTGAAAAGTGCATTCTATACCTACGGACATTTATTCCTGACTGACTAAGTGTTGATTGCACAGCTTGATCATCATCACGCAGTAAGACAATACCATTCGTTTACTGAAGATGGAAAAGTTTATCCAGGACCACTACCTGTTTCCATTAGAGTAGTTTGTAGAATGTTATCGATGTAAATGTTGAGGAGGAATAGTGAGTAACCTGCTTCCAGTTCCTCTCACTACCCATACAAACGATATTTGCTAGTGCTGTATGGTGTTCATTCAAAGTATTTCTCGAGAACCAAAGGAAATATTGTTAAGGAATGAGCCTTGATTTTCATGGATATAGTCTTCATGTATTTATACTTATGACGTTTGTAATAAGTAGTTTTCTTTGTGATTAAGGAATAATATCTTGCATTACACTTCAATAAATTAACTTTCCTGATTCATTTTATCTTCACCATGCGTATGTGACCCATACAAATTGGTAATTCACGATTATTCTTTACAATTAATTATGACTTTCATAGCATCATTCTAAACTACTGCAGAAAGTTATTCCACTGTCAAATCTTACTGCATTAACGGTTTACTTTCCTATTTGTCTATTTATTTTTATTCATTTTGTAGCACATATATTACCGTTTATTCTTATTCTGTTTTCACAAACATGCTTATCAAATTTTTCACATGTTTCACGTTTATTTTTATTTTTTCCCCTTCCCTTTAAAGTTAACTCAACATTCTAGATTTTACAGAACCTATTTAAATGTGGTGAACATTATGGGACACTATTGAAACTTGTGTATAACTTCATCTCTGAAGAAACCCAAAATGGTTTCTTCACAACACTTATGTACAAATAAGCTGTCTGTGAATAACAATACATTTTTTTCAAAGGATCATTGTCAGGAATCAAATAATGTCATTTAGAATCGATGTGATTTTACTGTTTGCAATTAAATTATTTCGTAGTAATTTTCCTATAGAAGTTCTCACTTTTAAACTAGTGGACATCGGTTTTGTTTTAGATGCTTTTTATACTTTGAAATCTTGATCCTCATGAGTAAGTAGTTCACGAGTCTTAGACAGTCTGAGGAGTATGATGGGAGCCATCACCTTGTACATGATTGAAGTAGACATCCACTGATAGTAATTGTATAAATGACATAAAATCTTTCCAAAGATTCAAATGGTTCTGAATGGGATAGAAGAAGCTTTCGCTTAACAGGCTTCCGTATCTAATGGCAGTGAATCACTGACGCCTCCAGGTGGGCATATTTTAGGTTAGAAAGGAAGAAGTTGGTAAATTATAGTGAGATACTGTCCTTAGGGATATGTCAGATTTTCTCGAAGGACGGGGAAGTCTCTTGAACTAGTTCAACCGGCAGTGAATTGCAGAATTCGACTACTTTTAAGGAGTAGAAAGTGTGCCTACAGTCCGTTCTGCTGTGTTGTGTCTCCAGTTTCTATGTGTTACCCCTAGGGTTTGTGTTGGAACTAGGCTTAGGTAAGTGTTTAGGATACTGTAAGTCATTAGAAGGTCACTTCTAAGACGCTTGTACTCTAGTGGGTAACAGTTCAATCTGAGTCCCCGAACTGATTTCGTGGCTTGCCGTTAAACACTTTCCAAAGTGTCCTTATATTTTTGGAGTGGGGGAGGAGACACTATGTTTCCATACTCTTAATGGGGGGAGAATAAAACGTGAAGATTAGGTGGCAGGTTCCGTCGAACTGATCAAGAACGAACTATTTCCTTAAGTTATGTCCCAAATTTTAAGCTTTCCTGCCAAGATTTTTTAGTTGTTAATTTCCCATAAATGTACATGTTGACCTAGCTTATACACACACTGTATTATATCATCTCTATACCATTTGAATTTAGCACGTGTCTGAAACACCCTTAACATTTTGAACTTTATAACTCTTATGACTGAACACTTGATTAGAATTTCTAACATTCTCTAGTAACCCTCAGGCTAAATGCACACGACATCGTGAACGCAAGAGAAAAGGGTGCGGAATATGGAAGGGATGCTTTACTCCAATGCTCGTTTATGTACAAAAATTCGGGGGTATTTACAGCTTTTCTGATGGCCTTGGGCTTCTGGAACCCTTCTAAATATAGTGGCAGGATAGTTATCCAGTCCGAAATGTAACCCTTGACTTCAATTTCTAGATGTATCTTGTAAACATCTATTCAATGCTAATAGGATAAAATGTTTTCTAGCGTTTTCAGGGTCCATTTGGACTTTTCAAGAAATTTCCTGGGTCACACAAACACCACTAATCTCATGTTGGTGTTTATTGCTATGTGTATTTGGGTGAATAGTTCTGTTACATTAGTTGCCTAAAAATACGTTTAATATAATTAAATCAAGTCACTCATTAAGATACTATCGTACTGCACTGGTATAATGACTAAACTATCACATGGTTGTTAGTCAGGCAAGCTTTGGGAATAAAATATCTGGAGCCTATTATTAAAGTTGACACTAAGTAACTGATATTTCTGGGTCGCTATTTGTACTATAATAAGGCAGCTCGGATCTGTTAATTCTACAAACTTCTATTATTTTCGAATCACGTAAAACAATACCCATTTCCTCAATCAACATTATAACTAGTTATGCACAATGGCTTATGGATATCGTCATAATGGATTGTCATGACTCGACAATCGCATAATATGATTGATAGAATTGGCGAAACTAATAATAAGCGTCGTCTGTAAATTGACTTAAAGTACCAGTGATTAGTGTTTCCTCGTGGTTATCTTCATCTCATATAGATGTTTTCAGCATGGTTCTCTATCATTTGCTCATTTAGCAAACTCCTTGAAACCTTGTCAATCTAATTGGAGGTTTAGCGACAATCACGTATGAAAATTATCAGTACCAGCAGTCGAGCGAATCTCCTGCAAAATAAAAACTATTTAATTTATCCCAACACTGGCAAAGGTTCATGCCATTACCATGGACATGAGGTGAGAGTTGTACTCCCCTTGGTTACATCTTATGTTATCCCTGATAATCACATGAGCATCACTTCCTGTTTATCATTTTGTAAAGATTTATTTGGCGGGAAGCGTCGTACAACATGTCACCCATATTTGTGTCACATAAGCTTTGCCAATTCCAATTCACTCTTGTTCAAATCATGCGATCTCTACCTTGTGCCAAACTCGATTCTTACAGCTGACTTGTATGCACCATCAGCCTGTAAATATGCATACAAATAATTGGTTTATTGTACATCAAAATATTTAGTTTGGAGCATGTCTGTTATGGACGC